ATAATACAGGAAAATATACGATGAGAAAGACAGGAATGGAACCAGCATGGTACACGAATGAATAGTGAAAGACTTTCACATAAAAAGAAGAATAAAACATAGAATTCTCCAATTTAATCTCAATAGTGTGCGACACAAGTTTAAAAAAATTATAATATATGTTCTAATTAAAAGCTGGATAGAATGGAGAACGAGCGAACTAATTTTTCTATTCAAACAAGGAGAAAACTACAGAGGTATAAATTTATGTAGCGTTATAACTGCTACATTGCCTGCTTTCTTTCTTATGTTAATATATTTCGTTAATTATATTTCCAATTTCCATATCTTCTGTCATAATTCATATTCTTCTATATCCTCCATTGTATCTCTTATTTTTCTATATATTTTCTAGGATATAGATTGTATCAGAATTATGTCGTTACTTAATTGATTCATTATTCTCTTTTCATTTTTACTGGTACCTATTTGGTATAAAAACCAGTTGGCGTCCAAATATATCTCCTTTATATATATATCTACAGTATTTCAGTATCTACCTCTCCTATTTTCTTAATAATCATCATTTTTTTTTACTCAAGTTTCTAAAGAGTAAATTTTATTTTCATCTCTATTTCTGTTACTTTGGAACGAGAGGTGCCATCTTTATTCTCTGTTTAGTTCAATGCTGTTGACATTTCCCCCTTCCCGTTCGATACAAAAGTCGATATAAAGACTTCTATTTTCTATAAATGTCTATTTTCTTCATGACTTCTGTAAAAATATAATAACCAATTGTTGTGTCGTCTCCTGATTAAGGAGTCAACCTCCGGGATACATTTCTCAGGTGCGGGTCAAATTCTTTTAACATCCAGAAGACCAACCGGCCTGAGAGTGGCACCATCATTCCGATAGGAGAGTTGACTCCGGGGCAAGAAAATCCACAACTAACAACATGGCTTGCTAACAACCACAGCAGAAAGCCAGGACAAAACCTAGGATTTGGTGACAAACATTGTTCTTTAATATAATGTAACACTGTGGCAAGAAGTTGAATAATTTTTATTTAAATTCAATACTATATTTAAACATTTATTTGTCTGTTTTTTTTTATATTTTAATAAACATGTGTTAATTTAACTGTGTATTGTTTCTTCTTTTTACTTGTTTGTGTGTGTTGCTCCAGAGTAGGCCATATTCACGTCCTGAGTGAGCTAGCCAGGGAGTGTTTCGCATAACGTCTAATGTAGCAATTTGCAATTGATACATTAGGGGTTATGGCGTTCAACATTGGTCCCAACAGGAAACGATTTGTCGCTCCAACGTTGTTAGTGATGTTAGTCAGGTTGTAGCAGCAAACTAAGGTTTGCGGTTACAAGTTGACAACAACAGCTCAACGTTGGGATGTTACAAATTGAGCCTCGAAGGGTTACCATTGGCATCCAATGAATATTCGTTGGCATGTCATAGATTGACGTCCAATGAATGTTCGTTGGAACGTTACAAATTGGCGCCCAACGTTACAAGTACTACCCTAAAATTTACAACAAAATTTTTTTTAATACTCTTTTTTAATGTAATATTAATGGACAAAATAATACAAGCAGTACGTAAAGGTCATGGTTACAGAATGGACAATAAAGAAATCCCAATATTATGTTATGCAGAAGACGCCGCATTAATCTCCGAGACAGAAAACGAGCTCCAAAGATTAACACATTTCTTCAATGCAACAGCCACGAAATACAATTTGATAATTTATCAGCAAAAAAAACGAAATTTATGACAATATTCAAACGCCCACTACGATGTAAAATCAAAATTTGTGGGAAAATAATAAAAGAGGAAGCAAGTTTTAGATATCTGAGAATAGATACAACTAGTTACGGAGATGTTGAAGAAAAACTACGACACAAAAGCTTAAAAGCAAGTAAAGCGAAGGGATCTCTTAATGACAAAATCTGCAAGAACAAACACCTAAAACAAGATACAAAAACAAGTATCTATAAAGCAGCAATTAGACATATATTAACATACTTGGCAAAGACAAGACCTGACACATCTAAAATTAGACGACTACTAAAAACAACAGGGACGAAAATACTCCGACGAATATCCGGGAAAAGTCTGTTTGATGGGGATAGAAGCGAAATAATAAGAAGAGCATGCAATATAGAAGACAAAAATGGATGGGTGACAAAACGGAAACAGGAGTGGAATGAACACATCAGTAGAATGGTAGAAAATAGGATAGTACAAACTGCACGAGATGGAGACCAAGAAAAAGATGGTGCGATAATTTAAACAATTTAGGAGGCTAGTACAGCTAAGCTGATGAATCAAGTACTAAGAACAAATAGACTGGCAGGATGCCTTAATAACACTGTATGGCGAAACAGACAGATTAACACTGAGAGAAAGTCAAGAATTTATAAAGACAGTATAAGACCAATAATGACCTATGCCTCAAAAACAAGACCTCACACAGCCACAACACAAAGACTACCTACTAGAAACAGCAGAGATGAGAGTACTAAGAAGAACTACAGGAAATAAGCTAAGATTGAAAGAGAAGTAAAGACATCAAAAGAAAATGTAACGTAGTGTATAAACCAATGAACATTTAATAGAAAAAATAAATAAAATAACTACATAAGCAGAATGGGGGAGACCCTTGTCATCAAAATCGTAAGAGATAAGTCACCAATCGATAGAAGAAGTACCGGACGAAAAGATGGACTAATACCCTTCCTTAGATGTATTAATCCGCCAAGGAACAAGCAGAATTGCTTATTAAGAACAAGAAGAAGAAGAAGTAGCAGAATAATCAATTACAAACTACACGTACCCATTCTTACACGTTCTGTTGCTATGTAATTACTTCTGCAGTTCAAGCACTGATATTCATCGCACTAATAAGTACGAATTATATTACACAAAAAGAACAACACCACAGAATAAAGAAAATAACAAAGAAAACATTAAGAGAAAATTAATAATGCATTGCTGTCTTTTTTGACATGACGTAAACTCTTAAAAAAGTATAACAAGGAGAACTTAAATATAAATTAAATCAAGGTTTTGACCAGAAAATAAAAATATTTACTGGAATAATGTATTTTGAATAGTCTTTGAGATGAAGTAGGTAGACTTTTCAGAACTAAAAAAAATATTGCAAGAGTTCCACAAGTTAGTGCGTTAGAAGCACTCTTGTCCCTACTATATACTCATAATAGCTCCAAATCTATTTATAACAAAATCATCATCATCACCATCTATCAGACTTTCCATTCTCTTCCACTTTTCTGTATTCTGTGCTTTCTGCATTTAATGTAATTTTTTTTTTCGTAAGTCAACCATCCATCTTGTTGGTGATCTACCTGGGTATATCTTGTTTTATTTATGTCTCCATTATATGAATCTTTTGGTCCATCTATTATCATTTTTAGAGACAGCAAACTAATTATATTTGTAGTGGCACCTCTGCCCTAATAAGGAGGAGAAGAATTATTGTAATAATGTGCTATATAGTCAGTTCATCCCATTTGTGCAATATTTTCTATGACATCGATTATTAAAGTCCTCTTTCTTATTATACTCTTTGGTATCATATCTCTTTGTATTATTCCATATAGTATGGCTTCTTCCATTACTCTCTGGGTTACTCTTTTTTTAAATTAATTTACTGACATATTATTTAGTCCATGTTTCGTTTTGTTATAGAACAAATCCAGGAATATATCTACCTAGGCAAAATCCTGAGACTTGACAAAGAGAACCAAATTGCGGAAATTACTAGAAGAGTAAGACTAGCATGGGCAGGATTTATAAAACTTAAGAACCGCAAAATACCCAAATACTTGAGGAGCAAAGTGTTTAACCAATGCATCCTTCCTATCATGACATATGGATATCAAACCTGGACCCTAACCAAGGCAAACATGAATAAACTAGCCACAACAGAAAGAACAATGGAAAAAGCAATGTTAGGTATACGACTGTCATATAAAAAGAGGAACGACTGGGTAAGATCCAAAACAAAAGTCGAGGACATAACAATAAAAATTGCAAATTTAAATGAAGCTTCGCGGGCCACACTGCTAGACAGAAAAACCAACGTTGGAATACTACAATACAACATTGGAGACCTTACGAAAGTAAACGACCAAGAGAAAGACCACAGATGAGATGGGTTGATGACATTAGAAAAATAGCCGGAACAAATTGGAAATATGTTGCTCAGGATAGAAACCGATGGAAGGAGTTGGGAGAGGCCTATGTCCAAACAGGGACGACAGAAGGCTAAGAAGAAGAAGAAGAAGAAGAAGAATGTTATTGTTTCGAAACCACATGTTATTACCGACAGTAAACATTGGTTGTAATTTTTTTTCTATAAGCAAATCGGTTTCTTTTATCTAATATGTGATAATTGATGGATTTGACCGTTACTTCATGGAAATTGCAGAATGCAATTACAGCTGTTTCGGCAGAATGCCTTTCTCAACTAAGGACGGGGTTTTTACTTTTGAAGGAAATAGGTCAGGAATTTGGAGTTGAAATTTAAATATCTTCGAACTCTTTCATAGAATGGTAAATCGAACTCACTTTTTTTATTTATAAGTTTCTAGGTAACGGTCTTTAAATGTATTTCGAAACAATGGGTGTAATTTATTACTGGCGACTGAAGATGCAAACGAGAGCCATGAATACTTCCTTAGGGTAAGACGTGGTTCTCCTGTTAGGCACAGTAAATATTTGCCACGCTAAGATTTTAATCTTGGGGTATAATTTTTGGTTACTTCACGGTTGTATATTTTGAACTTAATTGTTGAACAAAATTTATATTTATACATAAAGACAAACCAAAAGTTGTCCGTCATTGTCTTATTCACCCATAAGATTTTAATTACAATAAATAGGTAATTTCAAGTTATGTTTTATAGCCCATACGATAGTAGATTTGAAAAAGATATATAGTGTAGATAATAAATAATAAACATTTTTAAATTACTTCTTTTTAGTGTCGAAGCACCGGTACATGTATCAGTTGGTTTTTCGTTTGTGACGGTAGAAAAGACTGCAGTGATGGCTCAGATGAAGAATGTTTACCTAATAAATGTCCCCAAGAAGCGTTTAGGTAATTATAAAGTCCAATTAATTATATTATATTAGCGACTTAGTGTTTAATTTTTTATAACCTTGATCTTTATTATTGACTTTTCTTTTCTTTATTGAAAATAGACTACTTTTATTTCTTTTAATTTTTGCTCACCTTTTTGTAAAATATCTGGTATTATTTTCTTCGTCTCTCTTCGTGTTTGTTTATGTTATCCTTTTTATTAATAGGGCGTAAATTTTGAATTTTAAAGGGGTATTTTGGCCTCATATACGTCTCCAAGCTACGATGTAAAAGACCTTGAAGCTTTTTTGGAAAATGTTATAACATATTAACTTCATTTTTAGTTGCAAATCATCAGGAAAATGCATATCGAGAGCAAGCAGATGCGATGGATCCAAGGACTGTGCTTTGGGAGAGGACGAAATGAACTGTCAGGCTATCGGAAGGAAAGGTTGTCCACCAGATACATTTCAGTGTCGAGATGGGAAATGTCTACCAGAGTACGAATTTTGTAATGCTATAATAGGTAAGTTTAACATACAAAAAGCTTAATAAACTGTTTTTTGGTAATATTGTTACGTATTAATAAATAAATTTTCGAGCAAATATTCTTTAGATAAACCGGAGTTACTAAATTAGAATAATATATATTAGAAAACCCTTCAAATAAAAGCAATCCCTTCAAAAATCATCATCTATGCGGATGGATAAAAAAGATTTAAAATAGGCTGTGCTTTTTTAGTTTCTAATACATATTAACCATGTTGAGCAATATCAAGTCCCACATTATTTATCGATTTTTAGTGCAGAAGCTATAACTATTAGGAAAGCTTTAGATTGGTGCGAGATGAATTTACCTTTATCTGTGCTAATTGTAACAGACTCTTTGTTTTGCACATCATTAATTCCTTCTTTTATTCATTATAACAACAATATTCTACTATCTTTAAAAATAGTATATATAAACTGTAGTAGTATGGTGTACGAGTTACATTAGTCTGGGTTAGAGGTCATTCAGGGATAACTGGAAATGAAGCAGTTGATCTTGCAGCTAAAAAAGCACTTGACTCAGAATTGAGAGTACACATGTGCAAATCATCAGATCTTATTAATTTAGATAAGACTGATGTTAGGGTTAGATGGTAAGCTCAAAACAGAAAATTTTCAACTACATCAGAGAGTCTCTATTTTAAAATTCATCCGGTTTTACCGACGAACATTCCTCAAATTAATTCGTGGTATTATAATAGATATGTCATCAATTATGTCACGTTTAAATCTTAATCATGGTCGCTTTCCAGCATATTAGTTTTGGATTGGTATCTTAGATTCTCCGTGTTGTCCTCACACTGTCCAAAAAAACCTTTAGCCGATATAAATGACATTTTCTTAGAGTGTCACAAATATACTGCACATCCAGATATGCTGTACCAAGAACTGAAAAATTTTGTAAGTCTACCAACTAACATCCTTACTTTATTAGCACAAAAAGAGAAAGAAAGATACAACTTTTTAATCAAGTTTGTTTTAGAAGCAAAAATAGATATTTAGCTCATACGTAGTTAAATATATGTGTCTTTACAAACATTATGTAATTAGAATCCAAACCTCTGTTTTACCCCATTTGTTAATACCTCCTGCCCGTGACCTAGTCTAGTTTGTCTTAAAAAAATGTCTTGATGGGTACCTAGACAAGGAACGAGTGGTCATGTTTTTATCCTTATCTTATCCTTAATAATAAAAAAAATACAAATATTTTGTGGCAAATAGACATGTTCTAATGCCATCCACTTTCTACACTCACACACAACTAAGTTCATGCTATTATACTTTAATTAAATAGTAAACAAGAATATCAATTCCGTTTGCTTGATATATTATTGTTAAATATTTTTTTAGGCTGTAGTGACGGTAGTGATGAACCCCCACACATTTGCAAAGGCCGAGCGAGAAGGAGAAGAACAGAATATTGTCCTTTACGATGTGGAAATGGCAGATGTCGATCTAGCGCAATTGCTTGTTCTGGAAGAGATGGTTGCGGTGATGGCACAGATGAAAGTCAATGTTCAGTTTGTAGTAAGTCATTTTATTTACTTTATTATTATACATATATATTTATTATCATTGCTTGCTTAAAAAAAACAGAAAGATTAGTTATTTATTTGCAATTATAATTATAGTAGGTTGTGAATTTTACTTTTAAAAATATCTGTGGGTGATATTTATTTAATTATCACCAGCAATGTAAAGGGTTGTATACAAACGTTATAAATATTTTATTCTATTCAAGTGGCTAAAATCGGGAACTGCAATTCCCATTGCCACGTTATTTTTTATCACAGATTACTTTAATGTTAATTAGAGTAATCTGTGCCGGGTTAATTAACACGGCATAGACAATACCTGATATATCTAAAACGAGACGACTACTAGAAAGAACAGAGATAAAAATACTTTCACGAATATCAGGGAAAAGTATGTTGGATAGGGAGAGAAGCGCAAACGTAAGAAGAGCATGCAATATAGAAGACATAAATAGATGGGTGACAAAACGAAAACAGAAGTGGAACGAACACATTAGTAAAATGGCAGAGGATAGGATAGTACGAATGGCACGAGATAAGTCACCAAATGGACAAAGAAGTATTGGCAGACCAAGAAAAAAATGGTGCGTTAATTTAAATAATTTAGCAGGCTAATATTGAAGAAGAAACAGGCTTTAAAGCCTACATACAAGAAGAAAAAAGAAGAAGAAGATTACTCTAATTTTTTTTCTATGGCTCTATAATATAATCTTGCTATATTTACAATCCACTAAATATTTTTTGCATTCATATTAAATATACTTTTTTCTTTTTCAGGATGTCCGGTGATCAAGAGCCGCACCTTATAGTTCGTTTAATTTTTCGTTTGACTTTGTACAATGCCAAAAATTTTGTAAATTATTTTTACTATACGAAATAAGTTCTTAGGTATTTACTTAAAGAATTGTACGTTAGTTAGGTTTTTGTAATGCTCAAAACTATTTAATTGTATTTTATAGATAGATTTATTTATTTACAGTTTAGGTTCCTAGGTGAATAAGTTCTGTAAAAATAAATGTCTTAAGTACCAAACCAAGTTATTTATAATCAATAATATATTTCACTTTATTTTCATGATCACAGGATTTGAAGTCTGTCACAACAAGCGGTAGCAGATATATGCTTTAACAAAATAAACAACATATTAAAAGAATTTAAGAAAATTTGAAGACAAAAGATATAAAGAATTTCTACCACTAAGTCATTACTAATAGCAGAAATACTCAGAATAATTTTCTGTGTGGACGAAAGAGGAAATCTTGTGGAGGACGTAAGAAATGACAAGCAGATGCAGACAGTATTTTGAAAATATATATATATATATATATATATATATATATATAATATATATAATATATATATATTATATATATATATATATATATATATATATATATATATATAGCATCGCAAAAAGGAGTACGACCGTCTATCCAATATATAATAAGGATCACTCAGACGAGTGGTGGGTTCAAATATCGGTCTACTAGGTGGAGAAATAAAAGACAAAGTTGATACTACTTCATCTGTATTGAAGACGTTTCGCTATCGAATTCTGATAGCATCATCAGTTCATCTAAAAAATTTTACATTATGAGTACCACACATTCATGAAGAAGATGTTAAATAGTTACCTTTAAAAAGATATGTAGTTGTCAATGGTATTAAAAAGATAGTACAAAAACTCAAATAAATGGACATCATATGATGATATTGTATAAACAATTAAATAACTAACAACATTTAGAGACTTAGTAAAAATTAGCAAAGCAACAGAACACGTGGTCTAATAAGCATATAATATTTTATATAATATTAACTAGTAAAAAAGAACTAAGAAAATCATTGATTCACTTCCAACTATGCAAAAAATTTTATTTTATGACTTCATCTTAACTTTTGGTAGCATTATTTAAGTTATCTACATTAAGATATAAAAAATATATATAAAAAAGAAAAGATATAAAGTGAAGTTACCACTGTATGCTTGGCACCTGTTGCGGTTGAAATGGCGTTAATTAACAGATACCGAGCCAATGACATGAACAGACAGCCAACCTTGAGGTCGAAAATTCTTCGACAGAACAGCAAGGTTAAGAGTACCAACCCACTAATTTACGGGCGGTATATTTGAAAAAGTTAACATGAGTTTGAATGATAACCTCCCGTAAGAGACCAAACAATGAAAGAAATTAGCGATAACGCTAATCTCCTGCATCAACTAGTCTAGAACAAACCAGTAGGCAAAATTCATTCAACTTCATATATAAAAGAGTGATAAACCGTCAACAGTGTAGTTGGATATACAGCTACAGGTGAATGACGATAAGCACCTAATTTCCAAAAAGTCCAAGGTCCCACGCTTGGAACTTTAATTTATAAAGTATTCAAAGAATGAATTGTATTAATTTGTTAGAATTTCCAATCCCTTTTATTAAGCGGTATGTGGATGATTTATTATTAGCCCTACCACCTGACAAGGTTTAGGGTACCTTATCCTTTTTCAATGAATTTGATCCTCACTTACAGTTCACTGTTGAACTTGAGGACACTGTCACAAATAGTATCCCCTTTTTAGACATGCGTGTCATCAGAATGGGAGATAACACCCTGACCACAAGTTGGTATAGAAAACCAATGGCCTCCAATAGGTTCCTTAATTACCATTCCTGTCACCCTATGAAATATAAATTGAACCTTATTAAAGCACTTGTTGCAGATTACATAAATTGACACATCCGATTAATCGAAGGGAATCCCTTAAGTTCTTGAGAAATATTCTAATTGAAAATTCATATCCATCCTCCATCATAAATAAATACCTATATTCTCAAAGTTATGGATCCTCTTTTGATGATATACCCAATGGTGACCAACTTAGAACCATTTCTAATAATTCAGTCAATAGCATTGTTCTGCCTAATGCTGATCTTGAGAATCCTACCACCAATTATTCATCTCTGCCTTATTTTCCTCAAGTTACTGAGAAGCTTATTAAACTGTATAAACAGAATAACATACCAGTTAAAATTGCAGTTAAGAACGCTAAGACTGTTAGAAATTTGTTTTCTAAAACTAAAACACCGTTGTCCACTTTGGAACAAGTTAACACTATATACTACTTACCTTGTGCTGAGTGTAACGCTTGTTATATTGGTCAAACTTAAAGATCACTAAAAGGACGTCTTACTTCGCATCGAAGTGACATTAATCTGTCTAAGCACACATGTGCGTTAGCGCAACACGCAATTAACACCAAACATAAGGTGAATTTCAATGAAGTCAAAATTCTTGGCACTGAGCGCAATCTTGGTAAAAGACAGTTCTTAGAAATGTGTTCTATTCTTAAACATCCTAATGCTTTAAATAAGAGAACTGACATAAGTAACTTGAGCCAAATATATCATGCTTTAATTTTGCAGAATTAGGTTTTACAATCAGTTCATTATGTATGTGTCTCTAAAGTCGTACAATTTAACACATTTGTTTTAATAAATAATTCTTAAACTTTAACTTACTATAATTAATACTTGATAAAATATAATATTACAATAATACTAATTAACGTAGACTTACTTATGCAATTCACATTGCATACTTGGTCGTTTTTTCATACATTGATTAATGTGAACTTCTGGTTTTTTACTTTAATACAAATTAATACAGTTCATTCTTTGAACACTTTATAAATTAAAGTTCCAAGCGTGGGACCTTGGACTTTTTGGAAATTAGGTGCTTATCGTCATTCACCTGTAGCTGTATATCCAACTACACGGTTGACGGTTTATCACTCTTTTATATATGAAGTTGAATGAATTTTGCCTACTTGTTTGTTCTAGACTAGTTGATGCAGGGGATTAGCGTTATCGCTAATTTCTTTCATTGTTTGGTCTCTTACGGGAGGTTATCATTCAAACTCATGTTAACTTTTTCAAATATACCGCCCGTAAATTAGTGGGTTGGTACTCTTAACCTTGCTGTTCTGTCGAAGAATTTTCGACCTCGAGGTTAGCTGTCTGTTCATGTCATTGGCTCGGTATCTGTTAATTAACGCCATTTCAACCGCAACAGGTGCCAAGCATACAGTGGTAACTTCACTTTATATCTTTTCTTTTTTATATGTATTTTTTATATCTTAATGTAGATAACTTAAATAATGCTACCAAAAGTCATAAAATAAAATAAAATAAAAAGTCATAAAAAAAAGTTGAAGAGAAAATCAAACAGTTAGAGACCATGATAACTAACACGAGAGTGCTACCACCAATTAATACGGTAGCTTTAGATCCGGTAGAGATAAAAGAAGACGAGACGAAATGTAAGTTGGAAACACGGCCATTGGTATTTGAAGGAAGTGGAAGTTCCGTTCATGTCAAAGTCCCAACTTTCGACGGAAAATCATCATGGAACAACTACATGAAACAGTTCGAATCAGCTGCAAGAGCGAATGGATGGTCTGAAAAAGAAAAGGCTGTAAACCTGACTATCGCTCTTCGAGGAGATGCCTTAGATGTGCTCCAGACTATAGCCGTAGAGGAGACGGATGATTTCGAACAACTGAAGAAGAGGTTAAATATGCGATATGGCCACGAACACTTGGAGCATGTATATCAGTCGCAGCTCAAAAATCGAAGACAAAAGAAAGATGAGGCTCTTCAAGAATATGAAGTAGATATCGCCAGATTAGTGCGATATGCTTATCCAACAGCTCCCGAAGACATGATGGAAAAGTTGGCCGTTCAAACGTTTATTGATGGTCTTCGTGATCATGAGATGCAAAGAACACTACGATTAGCTCGTCACAAGACGCTGGTTGATGTCTTATCCGCCGCCCTCGAATACGAGTCAGCTACGCAGGCCTCTGGCGGTTACAGTAAAGTTAGGACCGTAAAAGAGGAAGAAGATGAAGATAAACTGGACCAGCTCGTTAATAGGATGAAAATCATGACATACAAGAAGACGAAGACCATAAGATGCTGGAATTGTGGCGAAATAGGACACGTACGAAGTTCATGTAAGCATCCTAGGTACGACACAAATCAAGAAACTCACCATCAGGAAAACTAGAACGGGTCGGCCTTAGGGGGGCAGCTTCGACCCAGAACTTTTCCAAAGACCCTCTCATACTAATAGCTTCTTTGAAATGTCGTGAAGATAGTGTATATGTAGATGGAGAAATAAATGGTAAAAAGCATACGTTGTTGGTGGATACCGGAGCGACAAGAACCATTATTCGCCCGACAGTTATAAACAGCCGAAAGAAACTGTTACCAACGAGGTTGCGACTTCGGACCGCCACAGGTGAAAATGCCAACATTCATGGAGAAATCCAGGTACAATTAGGAATTGGAGCAGAAAAGTTCGTCCATACTGTTATAGTTGCTGACATCGAAGAGGATGTTATATTAGGAATGGACGTAATGAATACGCATGGATTCCAATTGGATTTTAAGAATAAGGTAATCAAAGTTGGTAACGAGGAGGTATTTCTCCATCCACATGATGACAACACTATGCAAGCAGCCGTTAAAGAAGATACAGTCGTGCCTGCGAGAAGTGAAACGATAATAGTAGCGCGGCTACAGGGAATTGTGGACGAAGGAACACCTGTTATGATGGAGCCTTGGAATCATGACGACGAAGTTGGCCGTGGAATCATAATTGGAAAAGAATTAGTGACTTCGGCTAAAGAAATTCCTGTGAGACTTATTAATGTCAATGACTACCCAGTGACCATCAAGAAAGAGACAAAAGTAGGAACTTGTGTACCTGTCACATCCATAATCCGTCAGACTACAACGTCTGATAA